AAGTCAATTTAGAAGGTTTTAGCAAGCCCTCCTAATCCCCGGTCTAGAACGATCCCTCACTTATCCATTCTACTACAATTGTCAAACGAGGGTTTAATTTGAGTGTCAAGTAATTCTCGCATCACTTACAATGAACTTTGGCAAACATATTCATATCATATATACCTGAGAATGATTACTCCCACCACCATAGCTTTGTTGCTTTGGTATGTGTTTTCACTAAGAAGAAAAGGAAGCATCATTATTCAATTTAGTCCCAATATACGTAAGGACGATTATATTAGTACAGAGAATAAAAGCGCATAAATTAGCAAAGACTCTACTATTCTAATCCTAATCAGTTCATGAGCACAAATATAACTAATGTGCCCTGTCTCCCATTATAACTAAAATCACTCCCAAATAACACTAGCCAGCCATACAAAGCCACCGGCCACATCAAAATACCAGGCGCAATTTAGGTAACCCAATTCAGAGAACAGAGTTCGGATAATGAAATTCAAGTAAGTCAAAATAGTAGAAAGTCTTGGCAAGACAAAAATCAATGAAGAAAGAGTTGGAAACTTTTCAAACTACTAACCCTACAATGTCTCACCCACACAACACCAGATCACATTTATCTCCACCGGCAACACCGAATACAAATAATTTGAAAACCTAATGGAAAAAAGCACGATTAATCGGAAAATGGATTATTTTAAACAAAAACTCCCTAAAGCCAAAAAAAAAAAAAATCCATTGAAATAAAAATCTACAAAAATAAATTTGCAAAAGGAATGGCAAAAAAAATTATTGATGAGGGACTGAATGTAGATGAGACCTCTCCTTTAACTCTTGAAGATCAATGCTGTCAACATGGGTATCAAGAAGAGGAAGAGAGCAGTTTCATTTCCTGTAAAAAAACGAAGAAACAGAGTATTAACAAGCAAACGCACGAATCTCAAAGGAAATTGGTAAGAAATAATCTCAATTGAGAAATTAATCAGAAACCATTGATGAAAGTTCAGAAACTCAACAATGATACCGAACAGAACCTTGAGTACCCACATTGCTTTTTTAACCAATTCAACCGAATCTTTAAATGAAAGAAATAAAGCAGAGAACCCAGTTGAGGAAAAGCCTTAGAGAATCATATGGTAACCTATTGAGCCTCTTATTGTAATACTAAGATGATAAACATGCTATAATTTGTGTTATATTAAGATGATAAACATGCTATAATTTTTCTAAATCAAAATTCCTTTTCAATCCTTTTCTGATTGAGAGGATTTAAAAATCCCCGTGTTCTAAATTTTCAGAATCTCTAATCACTAAAGAATTAAGCCATATAGTGAATAAATTTGAAGAAAAGCTTCACAGTTGTATATAAAAAACTTTAAGAAGAACGATCACAACTCACACGGCCGTGGGGATTTCTAGATTGCTCCCAATAGATTGTGTGGATATCCGAAACCTTAAGAAACTGGGAACTATACAGCTCAATATTCGAGTACGAGCTCAGGTTCAACTATGGAAATTCCTTGTCAAATCTAATTTGTCTAAATCAAAATTCCATTTGAAATCAATGCAACAAACAAAATTAATACATAATTCAAAAGGTGGTGTACCTGATTTTGAAAAGACCCTTTCATGCAAAGCACAAAACCCAGGCTTAGCAATGGTGAATGCAACAGAGACAAAATTAAAACCAATTGTAATCCAATCGAAACCCCAACTAAACACTCGGGATATTCCAATGTCCTTTCCCAGCAAATGAATTAGAGATGAACCAAATTAGTGATATGAATTGGTGAAAATTGGATGAAGAATAATTAAATTAAGGTTGAGAAACCCTAAAAGCATGCATTTTGTTGAATGAAAAGTTGAAATCAAAAGCTAAATAGTAAGGAAAGTTGGGGTTAGGGATTTGTTCAAAATGGAAAACTTACGTAAATATTGCGATCGGGAGAGAGAGGAGCAACGGCAAGGAGACTGGGCTCCTGAAAGTGGGCATCCGGGATCGAAGATGTGAAGAAGGATGGGTTCCAAGCCACGTCTCGGAGTCTGGTTCCGAAAATTGGGATCTTTTCGATTATTCATTTGTATATAGTGGTGGTATGTGGGTAGTTATTGTGTAACCTTCAACTGAACTCAGATCGTGGGAATCATAAACTGCTCTCTAGTTTTGATCGTGGGAATCGTCAAACTCTTTGGTTCAATCATGGGAAGTTGAAGCAGAACTGATAAACTAAGAACTGTCTATTCTTTTTCACTTTTCTCCCGCGTTTCAAATTCTATAGTTAATGTTTTTACCTTTTTGTCCCTCTTTTGGTATTAAATCCTTGATTTGCGTTCCATCATTAAGTAAGGGTATTTTAAGGGTTTAGATTGCTTCACCAAACTGGGCTCTTACTCTATATAGATGGCTTTCTAATATTAAAGATAGATTAGCGTATATAAATCACACTTCTCCAAGTGAAATACTCAAGTCAAGTCGTCTCCCAAAAGCAAAGCACCTTAAAGACAAAAGTAGTCCTATAACCCTACCGAAACGTAATAGAACGGTGGAAAAGCAGGAGAACGCTGCCTTTGAAGAAAACCAAGGAAGTTTCCACTTTCCAGTGAAAATTCATCAGAAACACGATCTAATTACTGGACAGACAGTTGAAGATTCGAAGAAAGCTTCCTTGAGAGATATAAAAACAAAAAAAAAAAAAGGCGTTTAACAGTGTATAAAAAGACAAACCATACCCCAATTGATGAGATTAATAGCTCCACTTCACGCGATGCTTTACTTATTAGTGCTTGTAGAATCCATGGCAATTCTGATTGCTGATATTACCGTTCTAATCTGCTTATGACTACATAATCTCGAATAGCGTAATTGACGAACTACAAGTCCGTTGTAATTGTTAGAGTAAACTTTTGTCAATGTGAAAGATTCCAAGGCTGTGGACATTGACTAAAATCAGAATTAATGGCATTTTATAAAATATGTGCGGGTATGACAAGTAAAAATCATGAATTCCTGATTGCCCCCAACTCTTGCAACTCAATTCCCACCATCCACCAAGGAATCCAATTCCTCCAAAAGGAGGAGCTGAATTCCATTTTTATGTGGCCCCGGTAATTTTGACTAACTATTCATTTCTTAGTAAATATAAGAATGATTCATAATCAGAATCAGACTCCTCTTTTTTTATTTCAATTTTCAAAGTTTTTGTTTTCATCCTTCCCATGAACCTCCCATCATCCTTTTTTATTCCTCACTTCTCCATATACTTTCACTTTATCTCTAGGAACAAATGAAAACTAAAAATAAGTGGTTATCGAATTGACAAAGAAATTCACAGCATTCGATCCCAAAGCAGCAAACTCATCAGAGAATACTCTCCAGTACTAATCCAAATCGGTGGAGCCATCATCAGTGACAAAAAAATTGTTGTACAACAAAAAAACCTTAAGCGTTCAACCAGAGATTCGTGACTATATGCATAATATAAACCATATCAGTTGTACGAGTCACCAAATATACGCAGTCAAAGTAAAACCCGAATCGGTGGCCATATAACCAACAGCCCCACCCAAAACATTCAACCATTTGAGATATTGATATATGTTGATGTATTATTAACATAAAACACTACTATTTAATTGTATTCTCGAACTATATAAGTTTGTGTAAACTTTTTAGATGTATATTTAGACTGCAACTGGGTAAGATTTCAATTTGCAATTAATAATTTGGTCTCTACTGAGTGTGACACACTATACATATATTTCAAAGGTTGAAAAGTTCAACAATGCATCACATAATTGACAGTTAGATGGGAAATAACTCATTCAGCTTATGTGTCATTCCAATACACCCATGACTCGCCATTGCATTCACATAGAACTTTCGTGAAAAATCAACAGTGGTTGTAATATCTCACATCGGAAGTGGATCATGTAAGCTTTATATGTACATGCCCACCTCCATATAGCATGAGGCAGTTTGGGAGCTCATTGGCTTCGGAGTTCGGGCTAGAGCATTCCCAGAATGAGTGACTCACTGGGAAGTTCTCGTCTGAGTTCCCAGAAACAAAACCGTGAGGGCATGGTCGGGGTCCAAAACGGACAATATCGTGCTACGATAGAGTCGAGCTCGGGTTGTGATGGGGGCCCGGGCAGAGATGTTACAGTGGTATTATACACACATTCTTTGTTAATTATTGTTCTTTGGTATTCTCCAATTCATTCATACAACAACAAGAAATCGAGAAGGGTGTAGATAGCACCATCCAAATAAAAAATTATAACGGATCTTGTGTTATTCAAAGCAAAATTATGCCCTCACATCATATGAATGAGTCATGTAACTCATGTAATTGAGTGAACATTTTGGTTGTAAGGATAACTTCTAAGATTTGATTTTTTTTTCTCTTAAGAATCTTAAGAAGAAAAGAGAGGTTTCATGAATATTTTAGGGGTAACTAATTAAATTATGACATTACTTTAGTCTAAAGAAGTTGGCAAAATTGCACTGTAGAAATGAACAGTGTTTTGTAAGACATTTCAGTTTATTTACAAGACTACCACTGGCCCTCTCTACCGCTAATCTTGATGCATACGTGTTGATGATCGTGGGAAGGAAGAACGATGGTAAAGGCGGTCTTTTTCGTTTCCTTCTCAAACCCTCCTTGCCTCTTCGGTCTCACAGACCCGACGAGAACGACACAGACGGTCTCGCGTCCATCCTATCCTCCTCTCACCGCCGTCTGCCTTCCCTTGCCTAAGTCGTCTTACTCCATCGTTTGCGTCATGGAGGCCCATGCGTGGTTTTTTGGGTGGGGATTTCAGATTTCAAGGGGGAGAGAGGCTATGCTTCGTTTCGATCGGATCGAGCCTCTATGATTCGATTGGATCGAGGTGATAGGGACAACGCAAGAGGTTGAGGGAAGCTGGCTCTAAGACTCTGCATCTCTCATTTTCTCATCTCTCAAACCATTTCTCTCTCTCCCATCTCTCCCACTGTTTTTGTCTCTCGGCTTTCTCGCTCACTCTATGTCCACTGAAATTTCAAGGTGATTTTCCAACCCTAAATTGATATATTCCATACCTTGATTTGATCTTAATTTATCTGGAATTGATCTGCATATGTGTAGTATAGATAATTTTATCTAATGTTATAGAATCCATGTCCTATTAGGAAATTCTGAAGTTGAGATTCTACTGTCTCAGTTATATGTAAAGACTTGATTTTTAATGTTAATGCATCTGAAAATGGCGTGATGTGTGTCGTTAAGCGAGTTAAGCTGCATGATTTTCAGTTATTGATGTCTGTTTGTATGTTGTTTGATTGGTCTTAAATTTTTTGTATCGTTGTTTATTGTTTTCTTAGCCCTGTTTGTTAACGAACAGAAAGATTCAAGTGGAAAACGGGTGAAATTAGCAGGATCCAGTAATGAAAATGGCAGTTTGAAGGCTGAAGTTGAAGAAAGTTCAGCTGCTGGTGACAACAAGCTAGCTGAAGAAAGCTCTAAACCTTCCGAGCCACCCAAGCAAGACTATATCCATGTCAGGGCAAGAAGGGTACAAGCTAACATATAGCCACAGTCTAGCCGAGAGAGCAATGCACCTTTGGTCCTTTAAAATTTTCAATATAAGAATCTAGAACATCAATTATGGTTGCATGTTCTTAGTCAAGCCCTGTAGTTCTCGATAAGGAATAGGTTTCTGTTTTATTCTTGGATTGCCAATTGAGGATATAGCTGCAATTCAAATTCAGACTGCTTTCCTTGCACATGTTGGTATGTATGTGTGCACTAAAATCTCCAAAATATAAATTTCCAGTTTCATTATCTCCCTCAAGAACATTTATTAGAAGAAATTAAAGATTATTTTTTGTTCTGAGTATGAGTGCTATTTGTGTTTCTTTCATTGCTAAGAAGTATGAGACATAATTCTGCAAAACTTAATTGATGACCGTATGAAAGCTATGAAAGAACTCTCCGAATAATTCTTTGAATCTGGTTCAGTTTTATCTTAGATATGCACACAATCATTATTTGTGAGATAATTAGTTGCAGGGCTGGCTTTTAGCTGTTTGTTTGTTGATAAATTACATATGGTTCTTAAGGAATTATATATCATTTGTGAGGTTTGAGGTCAACATCAATATCCATGGCCTGTCACGATCCCCCATTGTACCATATGGCCATACAATTTGGCAAAATTATGATTCATTCAACTACTTCTTTTTGTCTTTGTTTGATCTTTGTTTCACTGTGTTTTGCAGCTCATGGAATACTCTTCCCAAACTTAAGACACTTAATCAGTAAGCGAGTGAACGACATAAGTTTCTAAATTACAGGTTCGTTATCCATTTTTGAAAATCCTGTGCAGAGTAGTTGATAGATGTTATGTTATTTGAAAGTTCATATTGTTGTCATTATGTTGTGCTTGCTGTGATTTGCTTAGCTTAATTATAAATTATGGGTGTTTGTTTCAATTTTATTCATCTTAGCGCCATTCACTGTATTTAATCTGGTTTCATTCTTTAGATAGACTAACCATTTTTGCCATTTTGCTGTTTGTGCAGAGAGGAGATATCTTATTACAAGGAACTCTCTCCAACAGAACTCAGTCCAAAAGAACATTTGCTACTCTTAAAAGCATTATGTGGACTCCAAGCTCAAGTCAGTCCTTAATTTTCATGTATTTTTTATTTCTTTATGTCTAGGTGGTTTACATGGTTTTTAACCATGAAATCACCTAACTTTATGTTTGCAATTGTGTTGTTTCTAATTGTTGATATCAATTGAAACACTATCATTTAGGTTATTAGATTTTATGCTATAAGAGTATGCTAACATATTCATTTTAGTAACCACCACTTGCTTTGATACATTGTAAATGCTATTTCTGTGACAAGAAAATAACCTTATTTCCCGTTTAATAAAACTGTTTAGTAATTGGAAAAACTATTTGTTTAATGTGTTCAACATGTTGTTATATTTTAATGTTGGAAACCATTGGCTGTGAATCTTTTGGAAGAAATTAGCCCCATGAAGTAATAAAACAAGGACATTTATGGAGGAATGAGATTGAATTGTTTGCTTTGCTCAAGAAATTATGTTTAGATTAATGGATGTTAGAGTGCATTTTGAAACGTAAGTAAGTTATGGATTCATTTTTGTAGCGAATCTCAAATAATCAGTGTGCGGAAAAATGATCTCTTAGTTTCAATTTAAATACATATGGAAAGTCAGAGATCTGTTGAGCATGTTGGAAATTCAGAGTAGTAGCACTTTTGCATGCTACACTACGACCTATAGCTCCTTTAATATTTTTGAACCAATGATATTACATTTGTTATATCTGTTTGGTTCCCTATTTCTATAGTTACAAATGTGATTAGTGTGCATTTGGTTGTGCTTGGTTGGGGTATAGGTTTAGTTGAAATAGTTTTGGTTTTTATTATGTTATTTTCCCTTCCAGCAGTGCCCATTTCCACCCAAATTGAATCTCAAATTCTTCTGCTTTCAAAGACGGCATATTCGGCCAACCGCGTATTTTCCATCACTTTTTTATTCAAAAATAATGTAAGCTGATTGATTAATTGAATTTGTATTTTTTTTTTTTTTTGTAGATTTGACAAGATCATCAACAAGGAAAAACCGAATAAGGTGGTTTTGAAGACGATAAGGTGCTCCCTACTGTGTTTCTTCTCAGTGTCAATTTCCTATTCATTTTTTAATTGAGCTTTACCAGTATTTACTTTTTTTTTCCTTATAAAGTTTGGATTTTTGAGTAATGGGTTTTGTTAATTAATTTTAGGAGTTAATTCTTAATCAATAATAAGTGAATTGAGAGTGGAGAGCTGGCATGGTTGGGATTAATTCTTAATCAATAATAGGTGAGTTAATTCTTAATCAAACTAATCTCTAACCCATTCTTCATCTGTCGTACAAGGACTTGAAGAAGCAGCTGACGCTGATCTATCCCAGAGACGAAGGCAAATCTCTACTAAACAGCCCATATTGGCCGACGACAGAGATTTAGTATGCAAAGTCAGCGAAGCTGGTGAGGTTTCCAAGGACGTCACCAATTTCGTGAAGTTGCTGGAGAACAAATTGGAAAAGTTCAATGCTTTCTTTGTGGAGAAGGAGGAGTGGTACGTTAGTAGATGGAAGGTATAATTTCTTGATTTTCTTTAAAAAATTATCGAAGATTACAATTTGGATTCTAGAATTATGAGAATTTGTTTAGGAATTGAGAGAGATTGACTTGCTGCTTGCGAATTCGGAAAATTTATGGTTTTTGTATGATAATTTTGGTTTAGGATATCGAAAGATTGTGTCTTTGATGTATAATATTGAATTTGGATGAAATTGATTAGATTTTGCCCTTTTTTATTTTTAGGCCATTGTATGTATTAAGTCTGTAATTAGGAACTGTTTTATATGGTTTTCTGTATTCGTAATTGTTCAGCATAATAAACAATAGGGTTTTTTTTTTTTTGCTGTGCTGATTTTCATGTACTCTATTCATAATTGTTTATTTTGTAAGGGAAATGCGGGATATGATAGAGATGTAAGCAATTTCAAATCTTCATTTATTCTGTTTCCACTTTGTTCAATTCAATTTGATTTAGCATTATTTTCATTGCTTTTGAGGAAACCAAATTAAAAGTGCCTTTCGATCTTTGTATATCATGCTTATGTTCTCCTTTATTGGGAGACTGATTTACTGTTTTAAATTGGTTCAATTCTCTTATATTTGTCCTTTTTGTTGGTTCTGAACAAACGAAATGACATGTGGATATCTGTCTTCTATATCACGTTTATGTTGAAATGTCATACTTACCAAAACCACATGTTGAAATGTTGGACCGTTAAACGTTTTTCGTTATTTTGTTTTCAGGACTTTGTTAACCTAGAAGTCAACCTGCTGATGCCAAAGCAGAAAAGAAGTGAAGATGTGAGGTAATTTTTTATGTTGACAATTAATCTATAGATGACGATCACATTTGATTTCCATATGTACTATTTCATGGTTTATAGATGTGGTTTGATTTTGATCGCTGGATGAAAAATCAAGCGTGTTTGTGACTTGGTTTTGTTTGTTTTAAAATATATGTTGCCGTGCCTGTTTATGTGGTTATGTCTGTTTCTTTTTAAATTTTCTATGCTTATCTTATTTGTAGAGTTAAATAGTTGATGAATCTTTATCAATGAAGCAGCTGGAATGCTTTTGTTGAATGTGAATGATCATTGTCTAGGGGAAACATTATAATACAAAGCTGTAACTTGAGTTTTGGAGTGAAACTCGAAAAAGCTTTAGTACTAAATATTATCATGTATGAATGTCATTATAATCTATAGCTGTAACTTGAGGTTTTGGAGTGAAACTTGAAAGAGCTTTAGTACTAGATACTATTGCGTATGAATGTGATACTGGATCTTACCATACACTGCGAATAAGTAATAAAAGATGGTGAGCCCGTTTTAAGTGTGATTTGTCTTCAGAAACTCAAATTTTGACTTTTTTGTATATATTGGTGGAAATGTAGAGATGGGTGCTCTTTGCTGCTGTCCTTGCGATGAGGAATTTGAAGAATATGCACTTCCTCATTTCATTATCTATTTCTATAAAATCTCAATACTCATGAATATTGTCATCAAGGCAGATAGCATGAAAATGTTAATGCATTTTCCTCTGCCAGTTTATCAATTTGAATTCCACTTTATTTGCGGTTTGTAATTGAAATATGTATTGCGAAATTCATTACTTTTGAGTATGAGCTTTTGAATAGTTATGAAAGGTTATATATTTTATGCATGTTTATAAACTTATGACATGCAATTAGTTTCTTTTTGGTTGGGTTCAAATATATTGATTGTGGTGTTATAAAGCTCCTTTTAATAGTTAGGTTAAAAATAACCATTAATAGATTCTTTATTTGGTTGATCCAATTTAATCCTCCTTTTGTTTTAGTTTCGTGTTAGCACATGGCGTATATTGCTTTGCTTGCTGGTTATTCAATGTGCCATCAAATTTGAGTATCTTTATGTGGAAATGATTCATATCTATTGCAGATTATAGCAGTACTTCGTTTTGCTTTGTAAACAAACTATATACTTTGTCTTAGGTTAAGTATAATGTTTAATGATTGAATTTGTAAGACGGTTTAGCAATTTTTTCAGAAACTTACTTTTTCTTGCCAGAGCTCAAGTATTATGTATTCTACTTTTCTACTTTCCGTTTTCTGTGTTTTTCTTCCATGTAGTGGGCTGATTACTTGAAACTATGATATTGATGACACAGTACGATCTACAAATGAATGTTTCTTATAGCTATCCATATATAGCAAGCAAAATTTGACTTCACTGGTTCTTAGGTACTACATCTTTTTAGTTGCTTTGTGTGGAAACTATTCATATGAATGGATTTTGATCTGTTTAAAACTATCTTTAGTGATGATTTTGAGTATAATGTGTTTTCCTAATACTGTTTCTCTCCCTCTTTGTAGTACAGTTGTGCAGAAGACATCTCCATTAACCGGTAACAGATGAAATCGTTTGCTGTCGAGGTTCCTGTGCAGAAGAGCGAAAATGCTACAAGTGGAGGATAGATAACAGCTCAAGACACATGGTATGAGGGTGCAGGTAAACTGTACATATGCATATGGAAAAAGTAAAAAGTTAAGGCGGGTTAGCTGTAGCTTCTCCTTCTCGCCACAACAGAAAATACTTTTAAACTGCATTAAGCTGTTAATAAATTAAGCTTAAGCTATATTTTACTTATCAAGAATGGGTAAACTGTTTTAAATAGGAAAAATTAAGTGCTTATATCGGGTAAACTGTTAATTTTACGAAGTTTTCTGGTAAATTAGGTATATAGTTTAATTCAAAGAGCTCTGTTGACCTTTACTTTTGTAAAATTATATAGTTTAATTGCGTCCCTTTTTCCAATCCCTATATATCTGCTCAACTCTTGGGTCAATTATTTGTTAGTTGGAATGTTTAATTGTTTGATCAATGATGTCGATTCAATTTGAAGAAGAAATAGGACTTTTGTTCACTAGGGATTTGAAATAGGGATTGAGACTCACATGAGTAAGATGTCTCAATTGTTCATTGATTCTTAGGTGTTGTCTTTTTAGTTGCTTTGTGTAGAAACTATTCATGCCTGTTACAACAAATTTATTCAAGTCCCGCAGCAACGCGCGGGCATATTTTCTCGTTATTACTATAGTATAAAATAGAGGTTCAAATTGCACTATTCATGTCTGTTGTGAAATGGGGTCTCGATTTTGAATTAATTACGTTTCTGCCATTATGTGTGTGGGGATTGTGCTTCAGCCTACATAGCTGTATCGCGCTGCTACATTTGGGCCTAGGAAAAACTCTCATGTCTTTCGGCCGCCGACAAAGTGTTTGACTAAAATACACACCTAGGGTTATGAATCTGCGGCTATGATTGAAAGTTAATTGTGAGGGCAATTTAATCACTGGAATTTGGGACCGAATGGGGTTCACACACAAGGAACCCCATTTTTACTAAAACCGATCCACCCAATTTATCTAAAATGCTTTAGACTTTTAAAGCATTTTAAGTAACTACTTAGGATTTTAAAAATAGAGTTTTAATGAAAAGTCTACGGTACTGTTTACTTTAACGAAAAGTCATATTTTTACACTAAAAAGTCAATCTTGGTACTATTTACTTTACCCTTAATTTTGTCCTTATCATTAAAACTCAAAGTTTTCAAACCCTTTTCATTAGTTTTCCTTTTTAAAAAATAGACATTTGTTAGGTTACAGGCTAGAGTTAGTAAAATACGAAACTGGTATAGTATGTGAAAAATATGTCTGTGTATTATTCGACAACTTTGCTAAGAAAATATTTTGAGAAATTCTATGATTTTTTTTTAATTTTTAATATTTACTTCATGTGAAATATCCATTTATTTTATTTTATTTATTTATTTATTTATTTATCAAATGATAGATTTAGATTATCAGCCACCAACGTGGTTTGAACCCATGCCGTCATGCAAAAACTCAACACCTTTCCACCACTACTTGTCGAAGAAATTTATTTTATTTCTTTGATAATATGTAAAAAAAAATACATATCGAAAATGTGAATTTTATATGTCAAAATGTGTCAAAATAACATGTGTTAAACGTAATAAATATAGACGGACGTGTATGGTATCTTAAAATTATAAAAAATGTGGAATACAATGAATCATTAAAACATGTATGAAAAACAAAAGTATGTTTAAAATACATGTACGTACGTATATAATATGCATATTATCTGCGAATTTATTAATTATGTCACCGACCTTAAATGGCAGACATGAACAAATATTGAAGCAGAGTTTGTTTTCACACCTCATACTCTACATTACCAAATTATTTATTCACACTAAAAAAGTAAGAAAACTGGACTAAGGGCCAGTTTTGGATTGTTGTGCTTTTTTAATAAATTACTTTTGTTGTGCTTTAAGAATAATCAGCTGCAAAATAAAACAGTTAAGCGTTTGATAAACTGTATTTTTAAAAATGTTATGAGTATTATAAGCTGACACACCCCTACCGAGATCAGGGCATGCTGGCCGTCACGTGGAAATAACATAACCATGTGCACAGTGCGGAAACTAATAAATAATAATAATAATAAACGTACGAATAAAATACAAACCTAGCTATACACAAAGTAATAACATACATGTGCAAGCGTAAGTGTGAAAAACAAAGTTCAGAGCACGGAAGACCTAGTGTAGTCCAGGAGATACAACACTAAATAAACACACCCAAAGGTGATCCTACACTGGTGATAATCTGTCAGATAAGCCGGGAAAATCCTCTGGGGAGCCACCAAAAGCGCTAGCCAAACTAGAACCTGAAGGGGCGCAAAACAAAAACCGTGAGTGGTCAAAAACAAAGCTTTTCAAAAATCATTTCATAAACAAAGTTCTAACCCTTCGCCGTAAAACCTGTATACTTCCCAGAAAATATAATATATTCACAGATATAAATCATGCTCAAAAATATGCCATGCCAAATGCCTCAAAATAAGATGCAAGAACTCAGGTTATGCCAATCCATGCCATATAATCTGTCAACCAGAGTCACCTAGCGTGACTTGTACAGCTGAAACTACAGCTCAAATCTCCAACTCACTAACTACGCTTGCACACGAGTCGGAACCACCTAAAGTGGTATGTACGACAGGATTGTGCATCTAACTTGGATCCAAGATGAGCGTGTGGTGCAGGAGGTCAACATCACGTGAAGGACTGTGCCCAATTCTGGGCGGGAGCACTAACACCGGGGGTGCAGGTTATGAGCTCTTTATGCATCTCAAATCACTACTAAACATAATCACAAACCATAACTTACATGTGCGTCCGCAGCACCAAACATATATATATATATATATATATGCAACTAATAATGCATAATTAAATGGGCAAACATAATGCATGGCATATAAAACATATAAACGTTTCATTTCACCTTCTAGGAAAAACATAAGTATATAGGTATATACGGAAAACCAAAAGCCCACTCACTGGTATGTAGAAGGGTCGTAACCCCCTTGCCTCGAGTGACCGCGCTCGTCCTCAGGATAGGTCTCACCTATATGCGAAACAACTATAAAAACGTAAATTTTAAAGCACATAACCAACATTACAAAATAACTTCTCATACAATGCTCAAATGGGGTGTATGAATGCACCAACGTGATCTACTCAACCTCACAAACATCCTCATATTTTTAAAATAATTTTCTAATATCGCACATGCCCCCACGCGCTGGCCAAGGCACGGCCACACACGTTGCCCACGCATAGGCACGTGCCTGGCACATTGACGGCGTCAGTTAATGCCGTCAGGAATATTTCGTTAAGTCTAACTGATTCCGTTAACACCGTTAGGAATATTCCATCATCTTCTCCGGCCAACCTACGGCGCCGGAAAACCGGGAAAATTTCTAAACTTGATATCTCACTCGTTTTTCATCCAAATTTCACAAAATTGGTACAAAAATGAAGCTTACAACAAGAGGAACAAATCCATACCACTTTCAAGCACTAAAACCAACGGAATCTCGTCGGGAAAACACCACCAACTCCGGCCAAACCTACAATTCACGATCCCGACGTCCAAAACCTTCAAACGAACCACCCCGAGCCTTCTAAGGACCTCATCAAGCTTCCTACAAGCTTGAAATTCCCAAAAACACAAGAATTAACGTGTGCATGAACAATAGCTTTATTTGCACATCTCGGGTTCGACGTGAAAATGAAGGTTCCCTTACCTGAAATAGGTATGGTTGAACTCCTAAGGACCCCACGAACACAAATATGTAGTTTGCTTCCTCGATCTGTGACGATTCCAACGGTTTTAGGTGTTGTCTGTACGAAGAAGATAGGAAAGGAGAGAAAGAGAGAGTCTCGGGACAGGGTAGAGAGAGAAATGGGCAGGGTATGTGTGTGGTCCAAAATTAACCAACCAAAGCCCAAAAACGACCACACAATGAAACAAACATACTAGGGGCAAAACCGTCATTTCACCCCTACGGTAGGAAAAGTCCGGGACGGCCTGTCACATAAGCAATGTCTATAAGGATAAATAATGTCATTGTTTAATATAATAATTTGACAACATAAGACCTACTTCCCCAACTTGCTTCAACCCTTGGGGCAAATATGATTTTTAACCCAAAACTCATTTCTGGAGCAAATTTAGCACATGATTGCCCAAGTTAAAGGGGATTGGGCCACCATATATGCGTATTTTTAGTAGTTCTATATTTATAAATTTATTGAATCTAACGGTTAAGATCTAATATGATTAAATTTAACGGTAAAAAACAAGATCTAATGGTCCAAATTTAAATCAAATAGCTAACGTAATTAAAAAAAATATTTTATGTGTTTCGTATTCTTTCATAGTGTTCCATGAATTTCATGGTATCGGTTTAATGATTAGGATAGTCTACATAATTTAAATTAGGATAGTCTACACAATTTTTTTTTTAAGTTACTTTAAGAAAAAAAATTATCCTAAATTCATTCTTTAATAATCTCGGGCTAAAAGTTTAACCCAAAACGGTTGGAGGAGAAATACTATTTTTGGGTTAAAATCTAAATTTTCTAAGTTAAATATTTTAAATTTTAACCCAAATGTTGGAGATGATCTAATAGAGTAACCCAATATTAAAGGGACAGGTTATTTTCAAATTTTCGTGAACTACTTGCACTTTTTTAACGGTATCTATTCCCATATTAACGGTCCCCTAATACCAGATAACTGAAGCTACGCGCGCAGGGTGGAGCTTTTACCGCCGCAGTGGAGGAAGTCAGGCCGCCCTAAATACTTTAAAATTGACGGCCATTTTTTTCCAGTTGCGCAATTGAGGTTGCCTTTTCTTGCCAACTCCAATTTCATAAAGTCCAATCTACATCTACTTACCAATTTGCAAATAGCAAAATCCCTTTCCGATTAGGAATTCAAAAACAGAGCAAAGTCCTTTTCCGATTAGGAATTCAAAACCAGAAAGAAAACCTTTTTATAAATCAATCAGACCTCCCCACAATGCTTGAACTAGAGCTTCGTGTTCGTCGCGGGAATAAAGGGTTGGGACGGGTCGCCGGAGTTCTGAATTCAGAGTTTAGCAGAAGGGGTTACGATTTGGTCCAATTGGGAATTAGGGTTCATCCTGATTGGAATTGAATTGGGGAAATTCGTCCGTTTCGGGAAAAAAAAAACCCAGACTTTGCGTTGTGATTGACTTCGAGCGATGAGTTCTCACATCCGTTCGAACATGATGAGAAGAGGCAAAGCTCCTCCGCCTTCAGCCGCCAGAAAGCGCGGTGGCGAAAGAAGTAATTCATTTTTTTGCCTTCTCTTTTTTTTGTAAATTTCTTTTGGCTTTCTGGTTTTTGTAATTACGTTTCAGTTCAGCTAGTATCTTCACATTTTGTGTCGATGGAGAATTCTTTTCTATGTTGGTTAGATTGAAAAGTTACAATTTGTGTATAAATTCTTACTCCTTGATTTTTCATGGTTTTAGAAACTGGTAGACCTGGTGCAGTTGCAGCTGACGAGTCTACGGACAATGAACCGGTGATTCGGCCTCCAAAACTGAAGACACTTTCCTTTTTGTTAGAAGGGTTGTTTGAGAAGAGGTTCCTTTGTGTCACTTTGTTTTTCTTTCTTTCTGTAATTCTGAAAATTGGGTACCATTGATTTTGCTTGCCACCAAATTTTGATGGGTTTTCTTTGTTTTTTTCAATGAAGGGGATCCGACCGAGAGGAGGCATTGGCATCAATAATTGAGGGATTAAAGCGTAAACTAGACCATGAGTTTCTGGAAAACAAGTAAGCATATCTAAATTTTCTTTTGTGTGAAAAAATTGTCTTGCTTTATTGCTAGGAAGTATGAAATCACTGCGTTATGTTTTCTTCACTTTCCAGTACTATCAGAATAGTTGTGTCTTCACCCAAAGAATCATGTCATTGTAGAAGATTGATGTGTAGATAATAGGTAATAGGTAATTGGTAAACATGCGGGTTTTTCATTTGTATGTGGGTTGTGTGATCTTGTATGTTGAGTCATCGCTGTTTAGTAGAAGATCTAGATTGTGTAAACGATTTCTGAGAGCTCCTTTTGTGATTACTTTTTGTTTTCTTGCAGTTTTGCTACTTTTCTATTCAGAAGCTTGAATTGCCTAAAAAAGGGTTCTAACAGGGAGAAGCAGCTATCACTTCATGTCATTGGTTTGTCTAGCTCTGTCAAGTAGCATGTGTATTTTTTTGGTTTTGCATTTCTCTTGTAACTCTAACGGGTCTCCTTTTATCATAATTCAGGGTTGCTGGCCATAGTCATTTGTTGCGAGGATAAGTTGTCCGAAATATACAGAGAGTTGCTTCCTGTATTTTCCAAAGTTCTGAAATCTGGACCCACAACCTTAAAGGTAGCTTAATTTTCATGATATTACATAAAATCTATCAGTTAAGTTTTGTTTATAGGTTTTCTCAAGAAGTTGGGTTGACCGAGAGATGTTTTGATACAGATATTGGATTGTTTGGCTATTGTGGCTTTCTTTGGTGCAACTAACTCGGAGGAGACTGAAAGTGCAATGCAAATTATTTGGAAGTTCATTAATCCTGAGTCTGCCTCAGATGTATGTATTCCTTTAGCTTACCTTTATGTCTTAACCAATTAATATCTTCTTTCGCATTTGTTTTAGAAAAACTTTTTATATTGAAGAATTATGGATCTTTGTTTTACCAATTTTCTAACTTAATTTACAAGTTCCCATATATTTTCTCTAGTATTTCTAATGCCTACTACTACGAGGACCCTATAGTTATTATCTTCTGTAGCTTATTAGTATTTAGTCGTAATCAAGGGTGTCGTTGTTTTATCTTTTAGGTTGACACCCAAAAGCATTCGGCAGAGGTCCTAGTTGCTGCAGTATATGCTTGGTTGTTTCTTCTTACAAGCATGGAGGGATGGAGACTCAGCCACAACTATTGGAATGGGTAAATTTTGAACTCAACATAATGAGAAGTTCACTCAATTTAGAAATGTCTTGAACTACCTTTTAACAGTTCAAATATATTTTCTGACAAAAAAAAAAATCATCTAATTGTGAAATAGTAGCAGTGAATCAAATTCTAAGTTAGTAAGTTCGTATTATTTACTTGGTTTTTGTTGTGATTCTGTATTTTGTTCTGGTGGTTTGAAGAAGAATGGAAGATGAAATGAAGAAGGAGAAATTAACAATGGATAGCTTTCAAAGGAATGTTGCTTTTCTCTGTGAGTCACAGAGGAGCAAATCAAAATCTCATTAACTTTTTCTCAATCTATCACACCACACATAAAACATGCAGATGGAATAATACCGTTAGAATCCAAGTTGGATGCTTTCTGATTACAAACTAATCTTGACCCTTCATCTAGCTAGTTGCTAGGATTACAACACTTGGCATTTCTTGCCTTACTACCATACAACTTCTCATTGGTATTTTAACTCAAGTGCATACACATACTAAACTAAGACTTATTCCTAATCAGCTATAGACTTACAATTGAACACTCCCCTTTAAGTCTAAAACTGATTTTACTCCAAGTTTGCTTCTGAGAAGATTAAATCGATCCTTTGCGAGAGGCTTTGTGAAGACATCTGCCAATTGCTCTTCTGTGGGACAATAGATCAAATCAATGATGCCTTCCTGCAATGCATCTTTGATAAAATGATACCTCCTGTCAATGTGCTTGGTCTTCTGATGAAACACAGAATTCTTAGTAATTGCAATGGCAGAAGTGTTATCACAGTGAAGGGGAGTAGCTTTAGTTTGTAATTCTTCGAAATCTTCCAAAACAAACCTCGGCCATATTGCTGGAGCTGTGACCTCTGATGAACTTATGCATTCAGCCTTTGCAGTTGAGAGTGCAACACAGTTTTGCTTGACTGAAGCCCAAGAGAACACACCACTGCCAAATGATGCATATCCTGATGTGCTTTTGCTATCCTCCAATGAACCACCCTAATCACTATCACAGAAGCCAATTAAACAAGCTTTGTTTCCTTTCACATACTCCAGGCCATAATCCAGGGTCCCCTTGATGTATCTGAGTACTCTCTTTGCAGTTCCATAGTGTCTATTAGTAGGACAGTGCATAAATCTTACCAATAGACTTGCTGCATACATTATATCCGGCCTTGTAGCAGTGAGATATAGAAGGCTTCCCACAATACTCCTATACATTTCCTCACTGGTAGATCCACTTCCATCATCTTTAGACAACTTCTCAGCAGCTACAAGTGGAGTTGTGATAGTCTTTGCTTCATTTAATCCAAACTTACTCAGTAAAGAACTTGCATACTTCTTCTGATGAATTAAGATGCTAGACTCAGTTTGAATCACTCCCATCCAAGGAAATGATGAAGAAGTCCCAAGTCTATCATCTCATACTTCATTTTCATATCTTCCTTGAACTCTTCTAGCATTGATTTGCAACTGCCAGTGTAGACTATATCGTCCACATAGATAGAAACAATCAAAACATCTTCTCCCCTTGCCTTTATATACAAAGTTGGTTCAATCAAGCTCTTCTCGAAACCACACTGTGAGAAATAGTTGTCAATCTCTCCATACCAGGCTCTTGGAGCTTGTTTTAGACCATAAAGAGCCTTATGAAGTTTGTACACCTTTTCCTCCTTCCCTTTGACTACAAAACCTTCAGGTTGCTCAACATAGACCTCTTCTTGTAATACCCCATTCAAGAAAGCCGATTTTACATCTAACTAATACAATTTCCAGCTCTTTTGTGCAGCCAAGGCTATTAAGGTTCTAACAGTGTCCAACCTAACAACTGGTGCATGGGTCTCATTGTAGTCCAAACCAGGCTTTTGTGCATAGCCCTTTGCAACCAGCCTTGCTTTGTTTTTCAACACTAACCCATCAAGATTTAATTTGGTTTTGTAAATCCATTTAACTCCTATAACAGGTTTCTCAGTTGGTCTGTCAACAAGCGTACAGGTACCAATCTTTTCAATCATGAATAGCTCATCCTCCATTGCTTTTAACCAAGACTCATCTTGTTTAGCATCCTCATACTTCTCTGGGTCCATGATGCACATATTACATTGAGCCAACACTTCATTCATATTCCTCCACTTCAGTGGTGTATGATCAAATGTTTGATTGTGCCCTTCACTCAAGTTTGACATGCTTGCAGATTCACCTGAGATAGGTGTCTTGGATTGAACTTCAAAGTCTTCAATACTAAGAACTCTCCTAGATGAAGATATTACAAATGATGTCGGAGACAACACCATTCTGTCACTTCTTCCTGTGCTTATGTCACCATAAACAAAACTTCCAATATTGAGAGAAATTGACTCTAAGTTCTCTTCCCAATTCTAGGCAGCTTCTTCATCAAATACAATGTCTCTTGACAAGGCTAGTTTCTTGGATAGTGGATCAAATACCCTATACCCCTTTTCACAAGTTGCATATCCCACAAATACTCCTTTGAGCTTTTAGGCTCAAGCTTATGTCTGTGTTCACTTGGAACATGAACATAGCATAGTGAACCAAATACTCTCAGGTGTGCTATTCCTAGTTTCTTCCTAGAATAAGCTTCAAAAAGGTGTGATGTTGTTCAAAGTCCTTGTGGGATATCTGTTTAGAATATACACTGATGTATGAACTGCTTCTGCCCAGAGAAAGTATGGCATGCTCTTCTCATGCAACATGGATTTGGCCATCTTAATTACAGTTCTGTTCTTCCTCTCCACTACTCCATTTTGCTGTGGAGTATATGCAAGAATGAGTTGTCTTTGTATTCCTTCTTTTTTTCCAGAATAGGTTGAATTCAAACGACTTGAACTCCCCTTCTTTATCACTTCTCAGGCACTTAACTTTGAATCCACTTTGTAACTTTGCCATAGCTTTGAATTTTTTAAAACAATTGAATGCTTCAGACTTGTATCTTAGAAAATAGACCCAAGTCATTCTGGTGAGATCATCTATTAACAGCATGAAATACTTATTTCTAGCAATTGAATCATTCTTCTTAGGTCCACACATATCTACATGAATTAGTTCAAGTGGAGCAGTTGCTCTTTGCACTTGATTTCTTGGTAACTCTTCTTTGTGTTGTTTTCCAAATTGGCAACCTTCACAGACTCCATTGTAGTCTTCAAACTGAGGCAAACCATGCACCATTTCCTTGTCTCTCAATTGTTTGAGACCACCAAAATGTAAGTGCCCAAGTCTCCTGTGCCAAGTCTCAGTAGAGTGAGTGACATTAGCTTTCAAAGCCACCTGATTCTCAGATAATAAAGTCAATGGATAGCACCTATTCACTTTCTTCTTCACTTTCATAACCAAGCATTCCAACGATGGACCATCAAACACACTGCACATTCCACCACCAAACACCAAGAAATATCCATGCTCATCCATTTGATCAACACTTTAGCAAGTTTTCTTTTAAGCCAGGTAAGTACATTACTTATCTAACATACTTTCTACCTTTGTTTGTATCAATCACCAATGAACCCATTCCTGCAACATTCACAAGGTCTTAAGTTGGCATTTGAACTTTGCCAGCTATGTTGGTTCTCACATCAACAAGCAATTCCACATTTCCTGTCATGTGGTTGCTACAACCACTATCAATGTACCACTCTCCATTCACCTTTGGTTATGTGATTGTGCTATTTGCATAAAACAGATTTCCTGTCATCTCCACTTGATTAGCATTATTTGCCTTTTGCATTGTTTTAGCTGCAGTACATTCTCTAGCCCAATGCCCAAATTTATCACAATTGAAGCATTTTGGTTTCCCTTTGTATCTACACTCACCAAAATGGTACTTAGAACACACCTTGCACTGAGGCTTTGCAACTTCTTGACTCATTGACTGAGATGCATTCAGATTCTGATAAGCATTCACGGGGGATTTCTGCTGAAACTTGGGTTTTGATTCCCATTTCTAGCCTTTAGAATTCCAGTTTCTCAAAAATCTGGATGAACCAGAATGAGCACCACCCTTGTTTTGTTCCTTTGGATTCATAGAGAGTGAAACAAAAGCTCTCTCAGTGGTATCAACACTGTGCAAATCAAAACGTTGCTCTTATCTTTTCAAAATTGCCACAACCTCTTGCAATTCTACAATCTCCAAACACTTTGTATTCTCAATGACTAGACATATGGGATCATATGGTTTACCAAGGCTAATCAGAACTTTCTGTACGAGTATTTCATTAGACAGAATTTTACCAAACGTTTTCATATGATTACTCAAATCATTTAGCCTAGTAAGATGCATGGACAGAGTTTCATCATCACACATTCTGGCATATTCAAATTCATGTCTCAGATTTTGCAATTTCACAGACCTTACCTGATCACCACCATAGTACTCTCCATACAACAAAGCCCATGCCATCTTTGCTGATTCTGCATTGGTGATTCGTGGGAAGATTTGATCTGAAACTGTATTTTGCATGATTCCCAAAGCCTTTGCGTCTTTCATCAATTCAGCAGCCATTTCTTCATCTCCATCATCCTCTGATGATCCTTCAACCTTGTTCTTCTTCGAATCGGAAGTTTTTAACTCCATTCTCCACCAGATTCCACAACCCATGTGATTTGAAAATCATCACCATCTTGATTCTCCAAAACTCGTAGTTCTCACCGGAGAAAATTGGAGTACTTCCGAGCCTCCAAATCCAGACATCTTTGGTCCGAATGGGTTGATTTCTCTTCTCAAATGATAACTAGTCTCCGGCGACCTTCATTGAGCTTCAAGCGAGCTTCGATTCAGCTCAGTGGATTAACACATCTATGCCCAGGCTCAGATGATCGAACCTGACTCTGATACCATGTTGTGATTCTGTGTTTTATTCTGGTAGTTTGAAGAAGAATTGAAATGAAGAAGGAGAAATTAACAATGGAGAGCTTTCAAAGGAATGTTGCTTTTCTCTGCGAGTCATAGAGGAGCAAATCAAAATCTCATTAACTTTTTCTCAATCTATCACACCACACATAAAACATGCAGATGGAATAATACCGTTAGAATCCAAGTTGGATGCTTTCTGATTACAAACTATTCTTGACCCTTCATCTAGCTAGTTGCTAAGATTACAACGCTTGGCATTTCTTGCCTTACTAACACACAGCTTCTCACTTGGTATTTTAACTCAAGTGCATACACATATTAAACTAAGACTTATTCCTAATCAGCTATAGACTTACAATTCAACAGTTTTGAGGACAAATAACATAGATGAAAAATATTATTTCTTTCTCTCTTCCTTTTCAGAATTTTTTACTCCATATGTCATACATATCAATCATTGCTCATCTCTATCATGTTATAGAGTGAATTATGTTGCTTTAGCACTCATCGTATATGTACAAATTGATGCAGGGCCATTTCTTACTTCTCAAACCTATTAGAGCACGATAATAAATTAGTCCGCGTAGCAGCCAGTGAAGCGCTGGCTTTGATATTTGAAACTGGTAGTCTGGAGAAGTTCTGGAGTGAAGCAAAGGATCCTAGCCTTACAAAATATTCACACATGCAACAATTACTGAAAGAGAATGTCTTAAAGAAGTTAAACTGTCTTTATTCGGACATAAGAAATGAGAATGTTGCAAACAAAGTCCGCAAGGTTGTGAAATATTTTGAGGTAACTGTCAGTTTTGTAATTTATTTCTCTGGCAATACATTGAGACAGAACCATTTAAATTGTATTTTTGTTGATATGAAAGTGTAGTAATTTGAATTATATACTTTCAGAGTTCTCGTCCCTCGGAATTTTTTTTAACGGTCAATGGAAAAGAACTAAAGTTATCATCATGGTATCAAATTATTCAGGTAATTGAATGTTTCATATTGCTCATTAATGTTTGTTTAATCACTCGGCTTGTTGATATGATTTGTAGTGGTTTCTAATCATTGTCATTTTCTTTTAAATATCTTATAAACAGTTACAGTTTTTGAAGAGTTTTTTAGCTGGCGGATTTGAGAACCACATGAAGGTTGGTATTTTCCCTCTTTCTGATTTTCTCAGCATTCTTAATTTATGGTGGATTAACAATTTGGTTTATGCACCAGGAAAATGAGAAACTACAGAATTTGTTCGAGTTTAATCCACGCAGAAACAAAAATTTAGGCCCAGAATTGTATGCATCTACCACTGATAAGGTTGGTCGTCTCTCTGTTTATCTTAGTTCATTTTTTCTGTACCAAAAATAAAAAAATTCTCATCTTTTGAATGTCTTGTAGTTGGTTGAAGAATTATTGAGCTAATATTTCGACTTAAATTTACAGATTACCGTCTGTTTCTTTGTACCTGAAGAAAGAGATCCAGATAAACTGACAAAGGAAGATCAAAAGAAAGAGAGGGTTTGGGTATGGTTTTATTTCTGTTGTTGTATTTGGACTGTTTTCTCTAGTACGCAAAAACTTTTTAAGATGCACGCATAGTTTCCTAAAGTAGCGTAATCCTTAACCAAACCGGGACATTCAGACTAACTTCCGTATATGCATTGTGTGCAGAGGAATGCGCTATTAGACAAGGCAAGAACACAACTAATGAGAAAACATCGGCTAATGTCACAGGTTTTACTCATGTTATCAAAAGCATATCATCTGTATTTTTCAATTGTGTTTGCCAAACTACTGCCTTGAAAGTTTACTTGTCATTTACTTGTCTGATTCCATGATGGTTCTTTCTGTAGGAAATGAATAGCTGCTGCTACGATTGAGAATGGAAGTGAACGATGGACGGCCATCCAATGGGTGGCAGGATTTCGGTCACCCTTTACATTTTGAACAGTGTTTAAGGGATCTTCAATTTTAAGTTGTGTTTCATTGCTTTCTCTCGTAAGTTAAGCTTTCTGTTTTCGTAACCCAATCGCGTTCGACATTTTGTAAGTTCTCATATCGTATCTTGAATGCATTCCTTTATGTTCGTTCAAACACCACAGAATTTGCCAAGGTAACATTTGAAAGACTTGATCATGCCTTGCCCAATTCTGAATGGTTTAATTTGTATGAAAATGTTACCTTACATAACATGCCAATATGTAGCTCGGACATAGTCGTATTTTCCTTCAGTGTAACAATGGCACTTCTTGGAGGAAATAGTCCTTTAAGTTTGAGGCTATGTGGCTTCATCACCCAAGTTTCAATAAATTTGTTAAGGACAATTGGCAATGTAACTTCATTGGAAACTCAAATGATATGTTTCGAGTTTTTGCTGAATGATTTAAATTCAATATTATACGTTGGAATAGGGAGGTGTTTGGTAATATGGAATTAAAAATTAAAGAGCTCATGCATAAACTTAACGCCATACAAAAAAGAAGTATAACATCCCAAAAACGGAGGGTATTGACCGTAGCACCAACGATAAAAAGGAATCTTAACCCTAATTAAAATGTAAGCACCAACAATTAATTTTACGATCTAATGGTATTCCTTTTCACTTGTAAGTGAGAGGTCTTAGGTTCGATTCTCGCTAAAAGTAGATATGAACCACATTATTACAAGCTCATTATCAAGCTTAACCTACTCCCACACCTCCTTAGGCTACCTATGAAGGCTCACATTATTGACAAAAAATATTTTCAAGTTAATACTATAGTTAAAAGGAAAGTACATGACTAAATTAAATTAATTAGTCTAAATTAAATCAAATCAATACAAAAGGATACAAATTAACTCTAACTTGATCAAATTATATCAATTAGGGTTTAATTTCCTAAATTAAAGATTCTAATTTAATAAAGAGCTAAATTAAATAATTAGCTCAAATGAAATGAAATCAAAAAATCAATCCCACAAATTACATGAAAGAGACAGTCGAGGGAAACAAAGCAAGCCAAGTTTTTTAAAAGACCAGAATCTCTTTGGCCAAAGCAAACACCAAAAGCACAAATGTATACTTTGTGTTCTTCATCAAGCTCATGGAGAATCAACAGGCGCAACAAACACACGCCAATTCATGCACCATCAAAGTCGAAAATCACCTATCATGTGACACTACTCATTGTCTTTTGTTCAAGATTAAGGGTCATTTCATGTGACTGCTCATTGTCTTTTGTTCAAGATTAAGGCTCGAGGACCTTTAAAGAAATCACAAGCATGATTCAAGGTCAAGTGTTCACCACCCTTGAATTAAATTCTACTTTGGAGATTGACTTAGAACATCAAACCTTGTACTCAGAGATTGTAGCCTAATTTTCTCATTAATATAAATATTTTATTTTGTACAAGTGTTCTTGTTTGATTCGTTGCAGAAAATTTCGTGTTTGGTTTGAATTATGACATTTATACGGTAAAATAATATCACATCGTCATGTGAAAAGCCAAACAATATTCTTTTTCTTTAATGAGATTACGCTCTCACCTAGCACATAAACCCCTTGTGTCTACTTTTATAACATGGGTCACCAGTTCTGGTTGAACAACTTTCAATCCAACTTGGTACGAAAGAAGTGTGACTGACGAAATGAAGAAGTTGAGGTTCTACTATAAAATCAATTCGAATTATGAGGATTAGCATAATTACTTATAAGCACATGCAACGTCCTTTCTTTTCCTAGTGTGGGATTCATAATCTCAACAGGAAATCTGATTTTACCATTTCAATTTTTTAAATTATATTATTTATGACACACCCCGACCCGGTATGTCCACTTGGACTTCGAATCGAGTTGTGTTGGCCAATACCAGGAAGGTAACAAAGCCATATAGTGTAGTAATATGGAAAATATAAATAAATTTAAACCTGAAAGTGACTAAATGCAAGATTGCGCATGAGCGAGATTGAACCTATTTCACACGTGATGTCAGAGCATGAGTAATGTATAGTAAAAGTAGAATAAGAATTATGCCATCGAAGGTAATCTCCTATATCAACATTTGCCAAGAATTCTTGTCAATACAAAAGCTATGCCATTAAAACTTGGAAGGGCGAAAAACAAGGGTGAATGGGCCTAAAAATAAAGTGTACAAAAACCTTTTTCAAAAACATCATAAGCCCTAACATAATGGTATGAAAATACTTATTGTAAACAGTAATGTCTCAAGAATGCAATACTTTACAATATCTCGCAAATAAACACACAACATTTGGTAATCACAATATCTCGTGTAAACAAACATATCATATCGAGTACTCATCGACATATGCTGACACACGAGTTCATGCAGAGATATTTTGACATGAACAGGATTTGGTGTAATAATGATTTACGCTCTACTACTACAATCATGTGAAGATTGGCGCTATGTGCATCACATACGAATCCTAATTGCCTATAGCAATCAAGGACAAGACTAGCACTTACAGTAGATCCAAAGTGAGCGTACGGTGTTATGTGAACATACACGTGAAGACTGGGTGGGTACTAACATCAATGTAGCATACGATGAGCAGATAACGTAAATATGATTATGCAACGGTAAATTGATACTTCTAGTCAACATAATACTATTCATGGCCCTAAATATAATTAAGGAAATCCCATCATAGTACGCATACATGTGCATCCCGTAGGATTATTTCACAATTCTCATCAATATGACATTTCTTATAATTTTAACTTAATTATGGCACCATGTAGAAAATTCATTGTTAAGTATATATGGAAACTAAATTAAAATACACACACACACACACACACACACACACACACACACACACACATTATATATATATATATATATATATATATATATATAAAAGAAAAGACTCACTCATAGTTACTTGCGAGGTCGCAGCCGTTCGAACTAGGAAAGCCGAAGTTTCCGATAATAATTGCACCTAAGCATAATATTGGGATCCATTAGTAAAACTCAACAACAACGGTTAAATTTGGGAAAAGAAATGACGGATTTGGAACCAGAGCATCAAAATACCCTAAGGAAGGTCCCGGGCAAATTCCGTAATAAGTCATCGAAAAGTCAAAGGTCAACCTAGCCGTCGAGATGGTCAACTAAGTTAAAACTTATAAATTTTACTAAATGGATGCCAAAAAGGGACATGGGGCATCGAAATTAACCTAGGAGAGTTTCCAAAAAAAATTTCGAAAAAGTCAACAAGTCAACTAACGGTCAACAATTAATTTTAATGGAATATTCTATCCTCAGATGGAATATTCCATCCTCAGACGGAAGATTTTGTTAAAGTTAATTGGAAGTTATCCCTCCATATTTTGAAATTGAATCGGGTTGGATCCGAGTTTAGTCGAAGTCAACGGGTCAAATCCGGGTTAGGGTTTGGGTTCGGATTTGGATTGGATTCGGGTTTTGGTTCATCGGTCGGGTTGATTGGTTTGAGGCCGATTTCCGCTGCAATCGCCGAATCTAGGGATTTGGCCTGAAAACTTCCTAAGCTTTGATTTAGGTTCAAAACTCAACCATTTTCAATGATTCAAAAATAAAAATGAAGCTAAGAACATAAGGAAAAAGAATATACCATTGCGGTCACCCGTCGTGGCTAGAATTGGCTGGAGAAATCCTGCAAAATCTCAAGTCCCTAGCTAGAAACTGGGAAATAACTTTCCGCATTGATTCTTTGTGTCAAACATCACCAAAGTTCTTAAGAGACGCTAGAAACGTATAATAAAATACCATCCATGGAGATTTGGGTGGTTTTGGAAACTCACCTTCATTGGAAATGACAAGAAATCGTCGAAAAACAATTAGGGAAAAATCGTGAACAGTGGCAAAGAAAGGGAAAAGAAACCTCGGCTTGGATTTGAGCTTGGGTTTTATCTGGGTTTTCATAACTCGGGGTGGGTTGTTCGCCGTGAAAAATGGCGGAAGGGGATGGTGGTGCTCATGATGTAGTGAAGCAGAGAGGGAGAGAGTTAGAGGTGAGTAGGGGTGCAACTCGGGCGGGTTGGATGGTCAATCCAATCCTAACTCAACTTTTACAATTCAAGCTCGGGTTCGGGTTAGGTTTCATTCAGGTTCATTTAGGCTCAGGTTTAATTGGGTTTGGGTTGCCTAGCTTTTTCAAGTTTAATCTTGTAACAACTTAGTTTCCAAGAATTTCTAAAAAAAATTAAGCCAAGTAGCATCAAAGCTAGCTAACTCTAGTGTCATAATCAATCTACTATAAAGTTTTAGGATTTAGAGACTATGAATATGGGTTGACTAATCCAAACCTCTTATTCCCTAAAAGCTTAAGTAATTATAAAGGGTAATTTATTAAATAATTATTAGAAATGGCGTTGGGTTTTGGACTTGGCACACTTGGGTGTAGTATGAGCATTAATTGATATGGGTTACAATCTAGTTAGATTGGGTTTGGTTAATCAAGTTAGGTTGAGTTTGGGATGAACGGGCATATGATCAACCCAACACACCCAATCAATGAATGGATTGAAATTAGGTTGGGTTTAAAGTCGGGTTGGACATGGGCGGGTTTGGATTGCCCCAACCTAAGTTACACCCCTACAGGTGAGAGAGAGCCGAGAGATGAGAGGGAGTTGAGGGGAAGAGAGCTCCAGAGAATCCAAGAGTGTTGGGGAAAAAGGACACGTGGCCAAAGAGAAGAGGAGAGCTTGGTTGAGGTGTGGGCCCCACAGGCCTGAAAAATAATTAAAATAATAAAATATCCAACCAGAAATTATTAAAATAATGAATCACCAAACTCTAAAATGCAAAATTACTAAAGTACCCTCACGTTTATAGTTCCGTAAAATTTTAATCATAACTCCGTTTTTTATTCCGCTTACGCCTATGTGTTCGTAGTAACGAGTACTACATGAATACAGTAAAATAGTAGTTCACACATGTCATGAAATGACGGTCAACAAAAGTCAACAAACTCGCCTCTAGGGGTATTTTGGTCAATTCACTCTTTTAGAAACAAAATATTGTAAAATCAGGGACGGGTCCTAATATTTTATTTTTCTAGTGGTGGATTGCTCGGATGGTTCGGTACCTCATCTTCAACCCCCCTACGTCCTGGATTCAAAGTAAAAATATCGCCTATAATATAAAAAAAAGTTCACTATTGAAAAGTGTAGTTTAAAGTAAAAATATCGCTTGTATTAACAACAGTTTACTTTTGAAAGTAAATTTTTTAATGAAAAGCAATTAGCATGAAAACATTATTCTTGTTTTTGCATAAACCATGAAAACAATGTTGCAGATAAGTGAAAGGCAAAAAGCATGAACCAACCCAATTTATAAGTTATCGACCGAAGTATTCAAACCCAGCAAATTCACTAGAAAATAAATGTCAA